CAAAATACATCTTTAGAAATCAATCTTAAGAAAAATATATTTACATGTTAAGAAGTGTTTAAAAAAAATCACAAGTCAAGGTAGAACTTTGAATGGATTATGCAAAATATGACAGACTTTACCATTTTAATCACAGACACTTTACCCCTTTTATTTACAATCTAAGTTAAAGATTTCTGAATATTTTTACATATTTGTTACATGCATATGTTATTATGTAGATCTATAAAGTTTTGTTGAATCACTAAATATACACACTTGATAACATTTTAACTAAATGGCTGGTCTGGATCCATGCTGGTCGCAAACCCACTATGTTGGTTTTGTCATGACACGGCTCATATAAATGTTGTTACAGGGTAACGAGTACTTGCAGACGGCTGCTAGGTGCCTACAAATGATGTTACGAGTAGATACATACAGATATATGTTTATACAAGTAGATGGAGTGGCTACGTAAGTTTCTCATCTCATTATACATCCGACTCTCTCTTTTACCAAGTTGTCTAATAAATATGTTATGAAATGTTAAGAATCTATGATAACACGGTACATGAGTTATATCAAAATTGGGCTACTGATGTTGAAATGTTAAGAATCTATGATAACACGGTACATGAGATTAAGGACGTTTTTGGGAGTTTTCATATAGACATATATATTTAGATAGAAATTCTATTGAACAGTTTTAATTTTGCCTATATGTCTATGTGAAAACTCCAGAAAACGTCTTTAAAGTATCAATTTGTACAAGAATGGAGAGATAGGTGTAGTACCCTGAGTAAATTATGTCATTACGTAAATTTTAAAAACATCTATGTACATGTAATTGAAAAAATACATCAATGCCATTGATATTGAAAAATTTAGAACCTGTATGGCAAGGTATCATAGCTCAGCACATAGTCTAATGGTGTAATAATGTAGAAATTATGTTATTGTTTGTTTGTTTGTTTCATTTTACGCCTTTTCCCAAAAGTATTGCAGCCATATAGGCGGGTAGTTTCCTAACCATTGTTCCTGGAGAGTTACACCAGTACTAGACTACCTTCCTCCGCGCTAAACTACCAAAGCATCTCCCTGGGATCGAACCCACGACAGAGAGGTTATGTTATCACTGTAGAATATAGGAATTATCCTTTTCTGAGTGTTGGAGTGTTAAGCATAGATTCAAACCCTGTCAAGGGCAAGTCATTGTTAACTTTATTTTTTGTTGGTTCCAGGAACAAATCTCGAGAGTGTGTGTATAAGCTTTTATATTTAATGCAGATTGATATTTTATCCTAAACAATTTCCAGCATTAACTGTTGGTCAGTCATCATTATATTAGTCAATCTTTTGAAATATATAGCCAATTTCGCTCAACTTGACAATGAAAATATGAGCATAATATATTTGTTATATATTTCAGGATAATATCAGTGTTAGACTCGAGCAAGATGGGTTTCCAGATACAGTATCAGCTTATATTCTGTCTCTGGTGTCTCACATTTAATCCAAATCTTCTAGAAAGAATGAGCAAGTAAGTCTAGATTCGTTGAATCCAGTCCATTTATTTCTTACACCTGCCAGTGTCAAATGATAGTATACTGCAAAATTATCACTTTTTGTGGGCCACTTATTATTGAGGTATTTCATGTATTGGTCAATCCACAAACTTATGATCATAGGAAATTTTGTTTCATCTTTGTAATATTATTTTACATTATATTATCTGTGTTTGACTTTTTAGCATAAGTAGATAACCATAATTTTATAAACCCACCATAATATTCCTTTTGACATAACTATGAAATTTCATGCCAACAAAATTAAGTGAATTTACAGTATCTGCAATATACTTTTAGTCAGGCATAGTACATGGAGGTTATTTGTTTGAGTTAAGATAATATACACCATATGTCAATAAGAAGTGAACAAATGGGATATAGTCAATATTTTTCTTTCAAATCTTTCATGTATTTATATAGTACATATTTTAAGTTTATTAGTCAGATGGTGCATAAATTGATGCCAATTAACTTTAATTTTTATGTCATGGAAATCTTTCAATGTTTTGTTATTTTCTTTTTTGGCACAAGTTCTCTATGTAGTTTAGTTTTAAACAGTGCGATATAACTTGTATCTCACTGATAATTTCAATATTTCATCAAATATCACAAGTTGAATAAGTGTACGAATCACTTCTTCATATTCAATTTTGTTACATTGAAATACCGTTTATAAATAATGAATAAAAGCTTAAACTTTTATGTCCAGATAGTAACACTGCATAAAACAGTTAGTTACAGATTATATCTAGGTAGATTGCATGCTTAGCTCAAAATATGGTTTGATCGTCTGGCAAGGCAAAATTTGTCAATGACAATAGATGTCACGGTTCAGAACTGTTCGATATTTAGGGGAGAAGATGTGTAAGCGGCCAGACAGCTCAGTCAGTAGAGCCGCGAAACGGTATTCTGTGGCTTCCAGATTCAAGTCCTGGTCAGGCTGCACAATTTTCTCACCCTGTGACATAGACTTAATCAGGAATTTAGAATATTTTGTGTTTTTCCCAGCTAATCCATAGGAACATGTACAAACAAACTTTATTCAGTAACAGCTTCGAAAATAAGCACAACAGGTTAACTTATGTATTGTATTGTGCGTAACGATAAAAGCTATAACAATAAAACTTTGTTTGTACCTATGGAATAAACTCATGTGGGCAGTAGACAGTCACGTGCAGGTATAGCTGGTTATGTGGACAAACCACCTTGATATGACCAAAATTGTGTTGATGTCAGCGTAAAACCAGACAAACAAGCAAACAAAGATTAAACTTTTTGGGCGTTGTTAAAGAACTATGATTATAATAATTTTTGACATGAAATATTGAAAGATGGATAAAACAATCAATTTGTATGATTTAATTTCAGACAGCACAACATTATCCCGATCTTGTCAGACATTCTGAGTGATACAGTGAAAGAAAAAGTCTCCAGAATTATTCTAGCAACATTCAGGGTAAACTATTGATAGTATTTTTTATCTTTGTTTATCTTCTTTTATGTGTTTTTTGGCTATTTGAGCCAGACTATTAGAAGAATAAGGACAGGTTTTGCACTCACCCTGACATCAGTGTTGCCATCACACTTAAGTGTTAAGTTTTTTTGTATGCAGTTGGAATGGGTTGAACTTTCACTCACTTGTTTCCTGTGATTACTCTGTGATTATCACACACCCGTGCTGATTTTGCGACTCCGTAAATATGGTATTGCACGGCCGTGCATATATTTTGACGTGACGTCATTAGCGTTATTTAAACATAGTGTAAAGACGCGCTAAATGTTAGCGTTATCAGAGTTTGATAATTAGAGGATATTAAATTCATGTAACTTCATTACTGAATTTATTGCACTCGTTGAATAAAATAATATTATGCTCGCCAGAGGCTTGCATAATATAATTTTATTCAACTCCTGCAATAAATTCAGTATTGAACTTACTCTCATTCAATATCCTCTAATTATCAAACTCTGAGTTTAAAAAGTTATGCCCTTTTTATTGCTGTCAAGCACTTGAGAATTGTCGAGTGTTCATGATTCCTTCATGTGAGAAAGCCTTCCAACTAGCTTGCAGAAATGTGAATGTTGTATTTAAGGGCCTGCTTATGTCTGAAATAATTCACAGAGGGGAGGGAACCTATGGTCTTCCTCCATTAGTGAAGCTGGGAAGTCACCTTATGACCTTCACAGTCATTCAGTCTCAGTGTCTATGAGTCTTGAAAACCAGCACAAAAAAAAAACAACAAGAAAACTGTAAGTAGTTAAGGTAGTCTTACTGTAATGCTTTCACACCAAAAAAATTTTAATATCGGCCAATATCGTTATAAGTTTTCACAATCTTCAGTATTCAATAATTAACAGTTTATAAGCAAAATTTAGTACATAGCAATTAAGGATGAGGGATTGTGAATAAAATAATGCCCCAGATTTTGAAAAAATAACAATCTGGAAGTAACCAATTTGCTACGATATTAGCCAATGTTAGATTTTTTGGTGGGAAAACATTACAGTAAGACTACCTTAATGTGTAAGAAAACTTCTTTTGTTAATTCAGAATTTGTTAGAGAAACCAGAAGAGAGGGAGCTAGTGCAAGAGAATGCATTGTCTATGGTACAATGTAAAGTCCTCAAGCAGCTGGAACTGTTGGAGGCAAGAAAGTTTGATGACCCAGACATCGTAGAAGATTTACAATACTTACAAGAGAAACTCCAGGAATCTGTACAAGATCTCAGGTACATGTTATTTAAGTGATTTTTTTCTTTACTAATTTTGAAGAAAGAAAAAAACCCAGCACACCAAAATACATTTAAAGGAATAGGAATGGATGGATTGATGTCTGTCAAATATAAATATTCATAATTTAAAAAGAGGAACCATGACAGTTTCCCTATTGACATCAACCCTATAAGAGAGAAATTCATGTTTTAAGACACTATTTTTTACTTGAGAAATAAGTTCATGGGCGCCGCCATTTTGGCGTTCTGTCATTCTCGCGAGACAGACGAGACCGAGATTGTGACGTGTTATACCCACTTCCGGTATAGGTGTACACGCTGGTACAACTGAAATATATCTTGATGAAGAACTTATTAATTTTATTGCGTACATTATATATTATTTATGAAAACATCATATGGTACTGAATTGCTTTAATTAATTAATTGAAGACGCCGCGACATTAATTATCATTTGTCCGATATTCAAGCTTGCTGATGATCCCACCACATGATTTAAGCAATGACTGCTTAATTTTCAAAGATAAACGATAAATTAATTTGGGTACTATGAGAAACTTCTTCAAATTGATGATATATCCTTTTATTTTGTACTTAATTTTCGCTAGACAAGCTGTCCAAATAGGGTACATCGCCGGTCATGTATCTTTTTTTTCAGGTAAAATATCCACGCGATTTTCAGCTTGACGCTAAAAATGAGAAAGGCGCAGGAAAATCGGCAGCCAGACTAATATCGTATGAAAACAAAACTGTCCGTTAGGTTATTTAGGCACCCAGTCAAAACTGGTACCAACAGCAACAGGTTGCCCATTCCCCTATAATTACGCAGATTCTCGGGTTTATCCAGTTCCCTAAAGCTTTTCTCCACGTTATCTACTTACAAAATTCCTTTCCCCGACAGATGCGCATTTCTACTACCGTAAATTTAATCCAATAAAACAAAAATCATAAATCTACTTAATATTTAAAATGATTATTGGTAACTGAAAAAAATGTGTTGCTATTTTATGACGTGCTGTAATTTACTACAATATAATTTGACAGGTGTGGAACCTAATTCCCCCTAAGGTCATTCAGTTCACTGATGAAGCGTAAAAAAATAGATGTCTATTTCGTCATTAGAATATTTGACAAGGGTGATTAACCAATCAGGGCAACATTGTGCATGATCAAAAGGTCTGTCGGCACAGAGGCATACAAGGAGCAATAAAAATCGTCAGTACACAGTGTGACAGAAGCATTTGGTGCAAATTAGGAACAATTAAAATGGACAATGCGCAGTATTAGACATAAGTAGTAAGAACCAGCAATTGTGTGAATAAATTATGCAAATTAGATTTTTGAGCAGCCAATAAAAATGATTTGCGTGCAGTTAATATAAGGCTACGATTACGATGCGCGGCATCATACGTTGACAGACATGTTAACAATTTACTTTTCAAAAGAGTTGCTTATATTTTTGAAATGTGTACATCAATTATAACATATGTTCACACCTTTTAATTTGAAAGTCAGAATCAAACTGCAAAAACTGAATTATATGTACTATTAAGAACACGTTGGGTTAGTAGGGGTTTTATAATGGAAGTGGCTAGCTTACGGGCCCGTACGGCTAGCCAAAAGTTTTAGCCGTACGTGAGTCACGTACGACTAGCAAGGACACGCTGTATTGGCTAGCCGTACGGCACAAAATTTTAAGGAAGTCGAAAATATGTTATTTTATGACTTTAAGCGAGGATTTTAACCAAGAAACAGCATTAATTGTCTTTGGATGTTAACTTTTTAGAGATTAATCGCCTTGATCGCTATATATATCGATTTCTGTCATCGCAAGATGTCAAGAAAAAATAGCCTTTGCTTGCATTTACACCAATTGAAATAGTTTACAAAATTTTGATAGTAATTCCTTTTTTGTTTCATTAAGTTTAATTTTCGACACCTTTTATATGAAAAAAAAAAAATCAAAAAAATAAAAACAACAAAACAACAAACACTAAAAATGATTGTTGTTAGGCTCTTGATAATTGCGACAATTACCGACGGTACTGTATAGAAGTTTGTCCATCAAGGAAAGTTTGCATGTTCCGTGAAAGGCATTCTAAAATTCTATTGTCAGTCCCTGGATAGGTTTTAATTAAGGCTAATTAATTGATTGCGATATTTATCTACTGTTTTGAAAATTATTTAACTTTTGGCTAGCCGTACGTTTCTTTATTTTTTATTTTTTTTTTATTTTTTGATATTGTTACGTATTTTGAACCATAAAAGATCTCCTCTACACCTCCTGTGAAAATTAAATTGTCTGGTCAATACTTTATTATATTAATATTTCCTTACGATTCAACTAGATTTATCATGAATGTAAAGATGTGGGGAAATGACATCACGCGCACCTGTTTTTATACGGCCAATACACAAACATGGCCGCGCTTACTGATTTGTAGAAATCGGTGATTTAGCGATTTAAATTTTGTTATCATTCGTTTAATATTATTATTTGGCGGCAGAAAATTTGCAGACTTATTATTTATAGTATTCTTTTTCTGAAATTAAGTTTTTATTCTATCCTTGTCTTTCCCTTTAAACCCTAATCTAAATCATTACTTGGCTCTGCTCATCAACTGTATCTTATATAAGAATATACTCATTTACCAAAAATTCTCTTGAAATCCCTTGAAATTAATACTAAATACTGGCAATTTCTTATACATGATTATTATTGTGCTTATACTTAAAGCTATACTGGTTTCGGACACAAAAATACCCCCTAAGCATAAAGCTCGCTGCTAAATCTTTTATGTTTAGTTAAGGACCTAGTTGCCTATTTGTCACTCTTTACATTCATTTATTAGCTTGACTTTTTAAAAAAAAGAAAAATAGAGGTATTTATACAAAGATGTTGGCATTGCCGATGCTATTGCTGATGTAGTTGTTGTCCTCAAATTTGTACCTTGATCATAACTTTTTAAGTTCTTGGTGCATTGTCTTCATACTTGGCCATAAAACAACCATTGGCACAAGACCTTTTATTTGACCAGACTAACCTTGACCTTCATTCATTAACGACCTTGTTGACCATTACCTTAGATATCTGGTGTGTGGAAACTTTCCTCGAGTTTGATTTCAGGTCCATTGGACCAAGATTACTGAAGATAAAAGTCTGCCTCCTTAATACATGGCTTGATGGTTTCATTTTTGGGCAAGGCAAAATTACTCCATGACAATTGGATCTCTGACATGGAATCTAGTGGTCATATGCCTCTTGTTGCTGATTCATGAATCATGTTGAATTACCAGAAGTTGGTTATTATTGGTTTGTTATACAGGAAAGTTAGTTAAATGGACAGACCGCTGAAGTCCATCTGTCCAGGTGTCTGCCTATAGACTTAAAAAAAACAGTGGAATGTGGACATATTCTTGTCCTATAGACACATTTATAGTTATCTGTGTGACATAAATGTGACACCGTCTTTGTGCTTTTTCAGTTCTTTTGATGAATATGTGACAGAGATTAAGTCTGGCAGATTGGAATGGAGTCCTGTACATAAAAGCGACAGATTCTGGAGAGAAAATGCAATACGACTTAATGAGAAGAATTATGAATTACTTAAGTAAGTATTGGTTATGCATCAGTCAGTTGTAACCAAGGCCTGAAGGGGGGATCTTTACCAGGGATTTGTAAATCTAAACAGTGTTCCTACTATTCCATGTGGGTGGAGGGGCCATGGTTATAATTGACTACTGCATTAAAGGCCCATAAAGCCTCAAAAATCATTAGCTTTATTTCTCAAACAGAATTTATTTTTGGTTTCCTTTTCCAGTTTCCAAAAACATCATCTTTTCCATCTTATGTGCTTTGTTAATTATTACAGTTGGCGCAGCCACAAGTGAAATATGAACTTTTGGTGTTCACAAGGTGAAATATATTTTGATCTTACACTAAACAAAATTTCTTTTTATTATATGCAAAGAAACGTTTAGAATAGATATTTTCACCTAATACTAAATGAGAATACTGTTTTTAAAGCTCACTCGATGAAATGAAATTTCATCCTACACACAAAAAACAAATATCCTCTATATATTCATGTAGATTCAATACTAAATTTATTGAACTCTGTGTTATAAAACAATATGAAAAATAAAAATAAGATTTTATTCGACTCATTCAATAAATATTAGCATTAAACCAACATTCATTTATTATACTCTATTTATAGAATTAATGTACTTTAACAGTATTCCTGAGAAAATGTTGCAAGCAAAATATTGAAAGTATGTACTTTGTACCAGTATATAAAATATTTCATATTCACAAAAAAACAACAACAAAAAAAACAACATACAATTATTTTAATTTAGCAGAAAGGAAAACTTTTCACACTGAGTGTTTAACAGTGAGTAATATATGCTTCATGTCATACATGTAAACAAAAACCTGATATTTCATGGATAATCAGATAATATTTTGGATATATATTTCAGAATTTTAGTTCGGTTGTTAGAAGGTAGCAAAGATCCATTAATTCTGTCAGTAGCAGCACATGACATTGGTGAATATGTACGATATTATCCCAGAGGGAAAAAGTAAGTGTTGAATATTATATGTATATCGTCGACTTAGTGCAGTAATGGGTTAACTCTCATTGAAATCTGATAGAGAGTTACAGTGGTGTTTCTGTAATGCTTCCCAGCCAAAAAAAATCTTAACATCGGCCAATGTCATAGCTAATTGGTTATTTCCGGAACGTTATTTTTTGAAATCTTGGGCATTAGAATATTTATAATCATTCATCCTTTATCGCTATGTACCTGATTCCACCATGTAAAAATTTCAGGTTATAAACGGTTAAAAATTATTAAATACCGAAGATTGTGAAAAATAACGTTCCAGAAATGACAGATTTTTTACGATATTGGCCGATGTTAGATTTTTTTGGCGAGAAAGCATTGCAATTACACTACATTAACCAATTATTGCACTAAGATGCCAATGTACGGAATATTTCTTGACTGTGGTATTGACTTATTCTTATTGCTCGAGTTGATCATTAAAAAAGTCCATTCCTTCGAGTCTGCAAAAGTGTGAATACAAGATAACGCAACCAACTAGAGTGTGACCTTCTACCAGGAAATCACACTCGTGTAATTTGATTGTATTTTCATCACAAAACTTGTAGGTATATGGTAAATGATACTATTTACTGACATTATCAATGTAAATAGTAAGAATAAAAAAATTAAAAATCCTTGAAAATGCTTTAAAATATCTGTTTAAACTTAAAAGGTTTCCTTGGCTATATGATATATAAATAACGTGGAAACCACTAGTCTACACTACATGTATAACATTAAATATGCTTTTCTCAGAGAGAACTTCTGTTTTTACCATATGAAAAACGTGTTCCCACAAGTTTTACATATTTATGGCAATTTTACCCTTGTAAACTTATTTTCAATACATTTTTAATTAAGATGATTAACATTTTTCCAGTGTTATAGAGCAGCTGGGAGCTAAACATCTTGTAATGCAGTACCTTACACACGAGGATCCTAATGTTAGATATGAGGCATTGATAGCTGTACAAAAATTGATGGTTCACAATTGGTATGATTTTAATCTCTGCTGTGTCTATTGTCTTCTTTAATACAGTATTGTATGGATATTTATTAACCAATAACTTTCTTAAACAAAAAAAGGTAAGTCTTTGCGCCACCAGTATTAAGCCAAGCGAGGCTGCACATCCATGCAGTCTGATCAGGATCTATACTGATGGTAGCTCAGTTTTTAGCTCGACTATTCGAAGAATATGAGAGCTATTGTAGTCGCCCCGGCGTCGGCGTCAGCGTCTGCGTTGGTTAAAGTTTTTGTGTCGCCTCTACGGAGTAGTGGCGACATATAGGGATCACTTCTCCGTCGTCTGTCTGTCCGTCTGTCTGTCTGTCTGTCCGTCTGTCCGTCCGTCCGTCACAAAACTTGTCCGGACTACTCCTCATAAACTACTGGTGCAATTTCATCCAATCTTTACAGGAATGATCAGTACCAAGTCTAGTTGTGCATATTGTCAGGATTTTCCGGTTCAATGATTTTTGTCAGAGTTATGGCCCTTTAATAATTTTTAATTTTAAAGTTTGTCCGGACTACTTCTCTTATACCACTAATGCAATTTCAATGAAACTTTACAGGATTGATCTGTAGCTCAAGTCCTTGCGCATATTGCACGGGTTTTCCGGTTGAATGATTTTTGGCCGAGTTATGGCCCTTTGATAAAAAGGTTTCTTTTTCTGTGTGTTGCCAGATACACAAAAGCTTGTCCGGACTACTCCTCATAAACTACTGGTGCAATTTCATCCAAACTTTACACGAATGATCAGTACCAAGTTTAGTTGTGCATATTGTCAGCATTTTCCGGTTCAATGATTTTTGTTTGAGTTATGGCCCTTTAAAAATTTTTATTTTTAAAGTTTGTCCAGACTACTTCTCTTATACCACTTATGCAATTTCAATGAAACTTTACAGGATTGATCTGTAGCTCAAGTCCTTGCGCATATTGCACGGGTTTTCCGGTTGAATGATTTTTGGCCGAGTTATGGCCCTTTGATAAAAAGGTGTTTTTTTCTGTGTGTTGCCAGATACGCAAAAGCTTGTCCAGACTACTCCTCATAAACTACTGGTGCAATTTTATCCAAACTTTACAGGAATGATCAGTACAAAGTGGTTAGTCTAGTTGTGCACTGTCCGTCTGTCTGTCCGTCTGTCACAAAATTTCCCAACATGAAATTGGCCATCATGAGGCGACACATGTGATTACTGATCGCTCTTGTTTGTAAATTCAAATATCTCAATTATTGCTTGAGATATTCAATTGAAACTTACAATACTTGTTTATAGTAACAATGTACATCAGATTGACAAGTTGGATAACTCTACCTACAATATTGACAGAATTATGCCCCTTTTTAACTTAGAAATTTTGGTTAAAGTTTTTTGTAAATTCAAATATCTCAATTATTGCTTGAGATATTCAATTGAAACTTACAATACTTGTTTATAGTAACAATGTACATCAGATTGACAAGTTGGATAACTCTACCTACAATATTGACAGAATTATGCCCCTTTTTAACTTAGAAAGTTTGGTTAAAGTTTATTGTAAAGTCAAATATCTCAATTATTGCTTGAGATATTCAATTGAAACTTACAATACTTATTTATAGTAACAATGTACATCAGTTTGCAAAATCGCATAACTATGCCTGCAATATTTGCAGAATTATTTGCCTCTTAGAAATTTTGGTTAAAGGTTAAAGGTCTTCAAAGATATTTACTTGAAACTTTACAAATGTACTTAGGGTCATAATTGGAGAGTCATAATTGTTGTATGTCACTGACCAAGTTCCATAACTCTACTCGCATTAAGGCTGATTCATCTCCCCTTTTCTACTTAGTTTCTTGGTTAATGTTTACATGCAAGTTTTACATATCTCAATAACTATTAAAGATATTTATTTAAAACTTCACATATAGTTAGAATCATAATTGTAGGTCACTGACCAAGATCCATAATTCTATCTTGCATTTAGGCTGATTTTTCTCCCCTTTTTCAACTTATAAATTCATGGTAAAGTTTTGCTTGTAAGCTGTTATCTCCATAACTACTGAAGAGTTTGTGCCTTTTTGGGACATTTTTATGCATTCATAATAATAAAGCAGTGATTTACTTGATAAAACATCTTAATAACAAGCCTTTGTACCTTTTTCAGTCAATTTTATGTATTCCTAGGTAATTAGCATTATTATACTCTCCCAAAGACCTATAGCCAAAATTTGGCCCTTTTGTTAATTTAGAAAATGTTACATTATCAAGGCTCTTTTAATATCAAACACTTAGAATAGTCGAGCATGCTGTCCTACCGACAGCTCTTGTTATAATTTGATATTGAAATCCCTTCAACTTCAAATGGACTGTCTCGAATTCAAAGCAAGTGGTTTCTGATGTCTGACTAGACGCTAAACTATTGACTGTCTGTCTGTTTGGTAGCTTTTAATATTTAAACCTAGTAATACAATGATTAAAAAGCAGGATATTCTTGTACAAATATAATTGTTAATTAAGTTAATTGGTTTAGATGGTATTATTAATTAAGCTTGATAGTGAACAAAACATATAACAGTGTAGAAGTGGTTAAAGTGTCAATATTTTGATGGCTAACTGTGTGGGTTCCAACTCTGTCAAGGGCAAGCTGTTGTTTCCTTGAGCAAAAAAAACTTTACCCTCATTGCTCAGTACTGGTTGGTTTCAGGAATAGATTTGAAAGTGTTTCTAAAAGATTATAGCTTCCTACACAAACTAAAATAATTATGTATAAACTATAGCTTATAGCATAGTTGACTTGAGTCTGTTTCCTGGAACCAACCAGTATTGTTGACATAATGTGGAAAGATGGTGATGACCCCAGTAAAGGCTCAGACCTACAAATCCAGGTTTGAGAGATTGCATCCTACATCTATTTTCATTAACTAAGATGTTTGAAAATGCATAACAAAAAGATGAAAGTATCATGTCAATAAAATATTTAACTGTTCTTTCTTCCAGGGAGTACCTTGGAAAACAGATATCACAAGCAAAGGCAGAAGAAGCCCCAGGGGTGATACCAGCCAAGGCATAGCATCAACCATCCATACGTTAATTTTGCTAGTCAACAATAACTGTTGTATGTTCCAAAGTGACCAATTAATCTTGTGATAACTTTTCTTGAATGAAAAAAAAATATATAAATATATCAAAAAACTTACAAGTGATAAAGATAAGCAGTCATTTCTGTGCCAGACTGAAATCCATTTGGTTAATTCATTGTTAATTAGTTAATTGAATTCATTCAAATTGACCAATAGAAAGTTGTGTTAGAATAGACTGGATATCACCTTGACAACAAAAATTAAGAGAAATATGAATAATATTGAAACATTTTTATGGAAAGTGAATTGTGCCATTTACTTAAAAATATATGCAGTTTAACTCTATAATTGAAAATTTTATTAAATTATGAAACCATTTTTGGATGTTATATGGCATTTGTTATAATCAGTGTTAACCATTAATTGTCACAAGATTTATATTATGTAGGGCTGTCATGTTTAGTTATGTATAATATCATATACTGTTATGGCTCTGTTACATTTCAAGTCTATGTATTTGTCGCAAAGAAATTCAGGAGTAAAAGTCAAGTATATAAATTATAGGCTTATGTATATGGTTAAGGTGTTGAGTTTTAGGGGAATTTATTTATTTATTAGATAAACCTCAGTCAAAAAAACCTCAGTAAAGTCAGTTTAAATGGACTTTTTTTGCAACCTTGCTACTGGTTCTTAAATTTTTTTATTTGAAATGGAGCTTATTTTCGATAGAAATTTTCCTTAAAAAAGTTGGAATGATTTTGATCATGTACCTTTGATAAAATAAACACAAATTAACTGGGCAGCCCTGATAATCAGATTTTAGTGATAGTGTTTGCTTTATTATTATCATTCTGTAGGAAAATAGTTGACAGTAAGAAATCCTAGTGTTTGAATAGTCTGGAAATTTTTTATCATAGAGTTTTGATATATTATATGACAAATGTTAATGTAAATGTTTTATAGATATATTATGTTATGTGTATGTCAGTTGAGATATATTATGTTATGTGTATGTCAGTTGAGCTGTAAAGTAGAGTTCCTATTGGTCCTAGGTTTGTGTTCCAGTAAGGCTACAAATTGTCCACACCCTGTGACATACTAGTAATAGTACTTTCAATAAGGGCCTTGCTGGAATGTTATGTGTCATCATTAATGCTTTAGCATAAGCGCCTCTTTTACTGTTAAAGTTTTTTTTTGATATTTGTCACATGCTGCTGTTAATATTAAAGATAACTGTAATATGTTAAGTCTGTTCAAACATAAATCAAGTAATTGATATCTTAACAAATATAGGTTCATGCAATTGCAAAGTCTTCTAGTGTTATGTATGAAATTGTAAACAACAAATTTGAACAACTTTGTGATGTTTTTGAAAATAAGCTTATTTAATTGTTTCACATCATGGTGTGAAATTTTGACATTTATTTATAAGTATTAATGCATTTCTGTCATTAAATAGTGTACAAATGACAAGACAAGGTGACAAAATTTTAACTGGTATTTTATATTTTGTGATACCAAACCTTTTGCTGGCCAGTTGTAAATCTTACAATCATGGTGATAGTGCCCTCAACAAGTTTGATCCTTTTGCAGCAATTTTTCAGACTGTTACCATAATAATGCAAAAGGAAATATGTCACAAAGTGACAGGGTGACCTTTTGTGATCGCTTTTCGTCCGTACGTAAACTTTTACTTTAAATGACATCTCCTCATAAACCACTAAGCCAATTTCATCCAAACTTCACAGGAATGTTCCTTTGGTGGTCACCTAAAAAAATTGTTCAAAGAATTTAATTCCATGCAGAACTCTGGTTGCTATGGCAACCGAAAGAAAAAACTTTAAATATCTTCTTTTAAAAAACCCAAAGAGCTAGAGCTTAGATATTTGGCATGAAGCATCTTCTAGTGAGTGTCTACACAGTTTGTTCAAATAAAAGCCCTGGGGTCAAAATTGGCCCCGCCCCAGGGGGTCATTGATATTCCCTATATGCATATAGTAAAAACTTAAAAAAATCTTCTTTTAAAGAACCCAAAGAGCTAGAGCTAAGATATTTAGCATGAAACATCTTCTAATGAGTGTCTACCAAGTTTGTTCAAATAAAAGCCCTGGGGTCAAAATTGGCCCCGCCCCAGGGGGTCATTGATTTTCCCTCTATGCATATAGTAAAAACTTTAAAAAATCTTCTTTTAAAGGACTCAAAGAGCTAGAGCTAAGATATTTAGCATGAAACATGTTCTAATGGGTGTTTACCAAGTTTGTTCAAATAAATGCCCTGGGGTCAAAATTGGCCCCGCTCCGGGGGTCATTGATTTTCCTATATGTGTATAGCAAAAACTTAAAAATCTTCTTTGAAAAAAACCAAATAGCTAGAGTTTAAATATTAAGCATGAAACATCTTCTAGTAAGTGTCTACAAAGATTGTTCAAATAAAAGCTCTGGGGTCAAAACTGGCCCCGCCCCTGGGGTGTCACTGTTTTTAACTTTATTTGTATAGTAAAAACATAAAAAAATCTTCTTTAAAAACCCAATGAGCTAGAGCTTTGATATTTAGCATGAAACATCTTATGGGTGTCTACCAAGTTTGTTCAAATAAAAGCCCTTGGGTTAGAATTGGCCTTGCGAGGGGGGGGGGAGAGCAGGTCATTGTTTTTCATTATATATGTGTGTAGTAAAAACTAAACATCATGAAACATCTTCTAATGGGTGTCTTCCAAGTTTGTTCAAATAAAAGCCCTGTGGTTTAAACTGGCCCCGCTCCAAGGGCCTATATACAGGTGAGCGACCTCAGGGCCATCATAGCCCTCTTGTTTTTCTGATGGAACTGAAAGTGATCAGCCTTTGCCACCATGTAGTCTGGCCAGGCTCTATACTGTTGGTTGAGTAACTTTAAATGTTCATGTTGATGTCCCAAAAAAAGATAATTGACAGGTCAGTTCTAAAACAATGTAAGTTGGACAAGTTGATAGTGTTGAGTTGTGTTCCAACATTACCATATCTTCATCAGAACATGCCTCTGTATGTTAAACTTAGGAGAAATATGACAAAAAAGCTATGAAAAATGTATTAAGGTGAAAGTTTTCTTATTTATAGACATTCCAGTTTTACCCTGTAGTTGCTTAGAAATACGAATATTTTGATGTCCTCATTATTTGATATCATGTTTCATACTTTATTTTAAATTTTGATGAAAATTGTTTAATTTTCATGCTGTTTATTATTATTATGTAATTATACTATGTTGTTTTGTATACAAGAGATAAAATATTATTTGAAAAAAGTAACTTATGATTGGTTTGTCTTCTCTCTAAGATTTACATGTTTATACAGTTAAAGTTTTATTTTAATTGAAACAAAAATCATAAATAATATGGTTCATGAACAATATTAAAGCAAAAAGTGAATGGTATCTGCTCAATCTCCTATGCAGTGGTCCCCCTTTGCTGTGCTTCACTGCTGATCAAATTTTTGAGGCAATAGAGAAAATCGGAATCCTTAAAGAACGCCCAGAAGGACAGTAAATTTTAGTACATGTATTTACTGAGAGAAATGGAAAAGGGAAGAAATAAAAAATCTAAAGAATAAATAAGGAAAATTTAAGGTTAAAAGTGAATTCTGGAAATATGGACGCTATGTACGGTAGTCTTAAAAACCTTGTCATATTCTTAAGATGTGGGAGTTTGAAGAAAATGAGTAAAAAATAATAATTGAGTAAAAAATAATAATTTCTAGACGCCGACGCTGGGTGAGTGGGACAGCTCTCCATATACCCCCCGAGCTTGAAAGAATGTGTATAATCTCCATGCTACCTTCTATCCATATTTCAAGTTTCTTAAAAATATTTTCAGTACTTTAAAGTTATCAAAAATATTATTATATTTGCCATATTCTAACCACAGCAAGTCGTTCAACATAGCAAGAAAAAAAAAGTTATGCATAATCTCCAGACTGCAATCTACCTGTCCCAGATTTCAGGTTTCATAAAAATATTTTCAGTACTTTTTGCGTTTTTGAAATAAAAAAAAAACATGCATAATCTTCAGCCTGTCATACATCCATATAGTTATATACATGTATCAAGTTTCATAAAAATATTTCCAGTACTTTTTGTCTTAACAGGGGATCTAGTTTTTGTGTTTTTAAGTATATTTGATGCCCTAGCAACCAAAATGTTTAACATAGGAACTAAAAAAAACATGCATAATCTCTAGTTCTGGCTTCCAAAACTTTATAAGGCGCTATTTAACATTTTTGTTTTTCATCTGATGCGGCACGTCATGTCATAGTTTATAAACGGGTACGCTGAAGACCTTATAAGCTACATAATCTCCAGCCTGTCATACATCCATAAAGATAGATATATACATGCATCAAGTTTCATAAAAATATTTTTAGTACTTTTTGCGTTATCACGGAATCCAGTTTTGTGGACGGACGGACAGAGGGTAAACCTTCAGTTACCCAAACTCCGCGCAACGGTTACGCTACGGCCAGTAAGGGGATAAAGGTAGCACTCCACAGTTAATTTCAAGTTCCTGCCGTCAATGTCCTACAAGCAATACGTCTAATAATTCTGATACCAAACTACACAACCTGGAAAAAGAAAACACATTTTGTTGAGAACATATATGACATAAGAATGCAAATCTACAAAGAAATTATCCCATCTGCAATAGGCAGGCAGTCAAAAAAGTTGCAATTCATTCTGTTGAAGCCCAAAATCTACAGTGGCCCGAGACCCAAAACAACACATTTCAAAAATATCTGCAAATATACCACCGTAGGGAACGTGTTACAGTATCGCGTTTTTCGGTTACAGTATAGAATTTTCAAGATGGAGGATTATTTGTTGGGAGGACAGGTAGGTGATTTTTATTCCGGTCCATACTACAAGTAGTTTAGTTTCTAAAAAATGTTTTTGTGCATTGCTTGTAAGGAACAGAATCCGGTATCTAGCTGGGACATAAGCTTATGTCCCAGTATCTAGTCATAATTTTTTTCAGACTCTGCACCGCAGATTTATCGTTATATTTTCTCATAAATATGCAGATTTGACAGTTTAAAAATTTGAATCGAGAGACCAACGCATTTTTCTCCAATTTCGACATTATTTATGCATGCCTAGAAAAAGTAAATCTGCAAAACGTTAGTCCTTTATGTTAGGAAACGTTTATAAAAGTTAATGACCAGTTGAACCTATTTTTCTGTTGGTAAAATGCGATTGAAAAAATAAACAATGTTACAGGATAGAGCGAGGTGATTTGTGCAAGGTTACAGCATAGACCTAGCGATTTTTATCCGATTTTGTTACAGTTTATACTCAGATTTCGGTTACAGTTTAGACTTCGATATTTTCTATATATACTAGGTAAAATGTATGAATGTTACATAGACTTTTAAATCTCTGTGAGCTAATTGGCCCGATGTCTATTCGTCCGTCTGTCGTACACATGTGTGTTCAATCTCATCCGCTCAGTAACTACTTGACTAAATGAGATGAAATTTACATGACTTTCTACCAATTACATGTAGTTGTTCAAATGGTTTCGGTTGCAATCGGGGATACGAAAACCCAAAACAAAGGCAATGTTTAAAGACCATTCTCGTCTCGAACCAAAAGCATTCAAATCAAATCATGATCATGGCGTCATTTCGAATGCTTCTTTGTTGAATTTATGATAATTTTGTTATTATTAAATTAAAACTCGTTTTTTCTTATTTCAGACATTCTGTATAGCAGTTTTCATATTTCTGAAAAACAAAATAATATTGAAAGTATAAATTAAGGTCAGACAATTACAATATCTTCTCTAGTGAGGCTGATGGAGGTACATAAAAGTGGCAGAGTCGTGATAAGGCCGTCGACTTCAAATTGTCTTTCATTTACTGCTGTAGTTGAAATCCAATCATGATTTTGGATTCTTTGTATGTGAGGAATCTATCAAGCTAATTTACGGAAGGTCGGTGGTTCTAGTCAGGTGCCCGCTCGTGTCTGAAATGTTCACAAAGGGTATCTGACTATCTGGGGTCTTTCTTTACACTAAAGCAGGAATGTTTTCACATGACCTCAGTGTCGTTGAAACTTAAAATCCAAGAAAGCCAAACGTAACAGACCCTTTTAAATACTTACAAAATACATTATGGTAGATGGAAATTCCAACTTAAAATACAATTTAAGGTTGAAATATTGCTCACTTAAATACTGTTTAATCATTCTCAGGGTATCACCTGCTTGTTAATTGTGTCTTTTGACAGCTTATCTATGGTATGCAGGCTTCATAACCTCCGATCCCCTCTCAAAATTTCATTTTATTTAGTTTCACTCATTGTATTCTGGTTTAGGGCACACGACATTTTTAACTTGGGGGGTAATATGCCGCTTTTCATAGAATGGCAATAACGTGTCACATTGAAGGTTCCATGATAACCACCATATGAACACATCCACAGATGTTAAAAAATCTTAAGTGTACCAGTTCATGTTTAATGTGAATTCTGCTGAAGCCGGTGCTAGGAGGCGTGGACGGTAGCTTGCAGTTACCACTACCGTCCATGAACAGGTTTAATCAAACTGATCCTGCAACATTTTCATGTTTTCCGTGTTGGACTTCTGTTCAGGATTCTTTTCTCTCTATTTTATTACTAATAGGCATTATTATAATGTGTAATGAAATCAAGCAATACTCTTTCTTCTCTCAATACATTTCGATAAAAGTTACTGTTGTTGTCGTGAAAACAGTCTTTACTTAGGACATTACTTATTCTGCAAAAAGTCTCAATCTGAAACTTAAAGTAAGAAAAATAGCAAACTATAACTTTTCTGCTGAAGAAAAAAAGTAATACAACCTTTCAAGAATGTATTAAATAGAAGGGTATGAGTTATTTCATAAAAAATAATGGATACACGAACTTTGTTTGAAATTTGGCAAGTATCTAAACTGTAACCGAAATCTGGGTATAAACTGTAACAAAATTGGATCAAAGTCGCTAGGTCTATGCTGTAACCCTTCAAAATTAACCTCGCTCTATACTGTAACATTGTTTATTTTTTCAAACGCATTTTACCAACAGAAAAATAGGTTTAACTGGTCATTTACTTTTATAAACGTTTCTTAACACAAAGGACTAACGTTTTGTAGATTTACTTTATCTAGGCATGCTTAAATAATGTCGGAATGGGAAAAAAAATGCGTTGGTCTCTCGATTCAAATTTTTAAACTGTCAAATCTGCACATTTATGAGACAATATAGAGATCGATAAATCTGCGGTGCAGGGTCTGAAGAAATATATGACTAGATACCGGATTCTGTTTCTTACAAGCAAAGTACAAACACATCTTTTAGAAACTAAACTACTAGTAGTATGGACCTGAATAAAAATCACCTACATCTCTTCCCATAAATAATCCTCCATCTTGAAAATTCTATACTGTAACCGAATCAAAGCACTGAATGTACTGATGGGGAGGCTATGAGAGAATGTTTCAGACTTATAGTTTCTTTTCTTTTTGCTTAAAATATGCTACCAAAATAAAAAGATATGCACATTGCGCTATTTATCCTTACTGTTGTGTTCAACCATTCATATATATGGTTAATGTGGTTGACTATTCATTTTGTTAATATTCCAGAACTTTTTAAAAATTTTGAGGTCCTAGCTTTTCGGACTGTTAATCATGCAAAATTTTGAAAAACCTTTAAAACTGTCATTAATTAATGACTTTACCCAGCAAGTTTGACCCCCGACTGGTTCAATTATCAGATAACAATAACTTTTTTAACAACTGGCGGTTCCTTAATAAAAATATTCTAGGACTGTTCTCATCATAAATACTTTTATGTAATTTTAAAAATAATTTATGAAATGTAATAACCAACTGCAAGTGAGGCAAACCCCATTTTTAATTGAACAAAAAATTATTAACACGTTTAGATGTACCCCATAATTGAGAATCAATTAAGGAATTAGCTGATCTTTGTGATGAGTATTAATCTTCATGCTCTACGGACAGAAGGGTTGTCCTTCTCCAGAAAAGCAAATCTCGAAAATAAAATCACGTTTTCAGAAAATTAATCCATTTCATTACTGACGGCGTCGGATAATATTAAAGCTAAATATTTCTTGAAAAAATACATCTCTGCAAAGCTTATTCAAAACTGAATCAACCTAAGTGAAAATTGATCGGGAAGTTTATATCTTCTTTTTTTACCGCCAAACACTCAACCAACTTATGGTAGTTAATCGATAGATTCTACGTGTATTTTTAAACCTCACTAGCTTGAAATATATATTGCGGAAAATCTGTTGTTAACAGGGTGTGCGGTTATTACGTAGGGTTTTCCCCTGTCGACCATTTCCCGCAAATAGATGAGAACATCGAAGCCGTCAGTGCTATGAATGGTGTTATAAATGGCGTGTTTTGGAAGTTTTTGTTGAAACTTCTCCAAATACCTCCAGAGGCGTGCACGTCGCGGAGAAGGCACACGGAAGGTCATAGTCAAGTCACCATAAGTACCAGAGGTGATTGGTTGACCTGTCGTGACTTACTCTGGAGGTTTGGCGCTAATAGATGCCGTTTTTGTTGTCGTCAGTCAGAAAGTTGATGCCTTGACGGTATTGTCGTCTCCTTTACCACCAAAGAACGAAGAATTGGCTTCCAGGAAGAATCTGCTTGAAAAAGACGTCCCAGATGCTATAATCTCGGACATATGGTTATTCCGGCGCCGAGTAAAAATAAACTTAAAACACACACACTTTTGTTGAAAACAAAACAACAACACATTTTCTGTAGTAATTTTTCAAGTGTTGTAAAATGAATAAGAAATTCCTTTTATGCCGCCCATTATTTTTAGAACACAACCATAAAAGTTCTTTTTTTTTTATTTTTCAAATAAACATTAATCACTTCAGCGCGCGCAAATATCGGTTTCAAATTAAAGTTCGTAAGATATGTTAATGACTTCCCGATGCTCGACTGTAAGTAATTTGTATATGTATGCGTTTTTTTTTTTTTTTTGTTTTTTTTTTTTGTTTTTTTTTTTTTTTTAATTAAAGCTTCTTATTCTTTAATATTTTTTATGTATCTCATAATCTGTATTGAAAATTTGAATTTTATTACACATGGACTATCAAATTATGATGTATGCCCTAGAATTGAATAAACTTTCTAATTACACAATACGGGGTCATACTGATCTTTGCGTCTTTCTCTGAAATAATTATTTCCTTGTTAAAACATATTTGACCACATATTTCTGTCAATTAACTGTTCACTTTACTTCCGATTTTGTTGTACGGAAACACATGTTTCTATTTGTGTTTTCTAATCAATTTGAATCTATAATCAGTTTAATGGGAACACCACCGGGTAAACGACTACTAGGTACTTTGGTCATGTTTTTTACCACAAATATTTGAATGTTTCTATTGGGATTAAAATGAGCATAGTTTAAACAACTGTTTGTATAAATTCCTGACCTGTCTAATTCTAATTATGAGATTAGTGAATATATAAGACTTTCACTACAAAATATTCCTAAACAAAAGAGCACATGTTTAAATTTATTCCTATACAAATAAAAGATCAGAGTAGGGATCTGTCAATTGCCAAAGATACTTTTATGTTAAAAGTTTGATTAATGAATTATGTAAGATGAAAATATAAGTATTGCTTTTTTTATTTTGCTAATGTAAAATGTAATATTGTGCTGGAATTTTGTCGGAGGTCCTTAGGGGTTTTGTAGTTAAATAGTTTTTTTTCGGCGATAATGGTTAAAGAATATAATGTTTTCAAACTATATGTTCATCGCCATCAGTGAATTTTTAGTTAAATGTATGCAAAATATTTACTAAACAGCTAAATGATTTAGCGGTTTATGAGCGTTTTCCGCGTACAGCCTCCTGGGGTGTACAAATAAGTTAGTTTTCCTTAGTTATCACGCAAGCATGATCCATGTCTCTGATGTAAGCGACAGTTTACAATTATTTGTCTTTAAAAAATATTAAGGACTATTAATAGTTTATAACAACAAAAGAACATGCATGATATTGAGAATACGGTGTTGCAACGTTCTAGTTAATGACCCGTCATAAACAGTTGGTCGCTGCGTAGTAATTGGAAAATTGTTATCAAAAATAATAAAGAATATTTGCCACTGAATTAAAGCATTTACTTATAAATTTTCATTTATGCTTTTTGTTAAAAAAATATTGATAAAGTTATTATTTTGAAGGGTTTTCATACCAGAACTATTTATTACAGACGTACGTATGCCTAAACCTGATTACCGCGGCAGTATGACGTCACGGAGTAGTGATTTAAACAAAAATCAAGTATTTTTCAGAGAATTATTATCTTTACAAATTGCAGATATGAAATTAAAGAATGAAAATATTTTCATATTGTAAATGTCTGTGATGAGTGATGAGTCAGCTTAGAAAAAATCAAGGTACTATTTTTTGACCTGATTACCGCGGCAGTATGACGTCACGGAGTAGTGATTAAAACAAAAATCAAGAATTTTTCAGAGAATTATTATCTTTACAAATTGCAGATATGAAATTAAAGAATGAAAATATTTTCATATTGTAAATGTCTGTGATGAGTGATGAGTCAGCTTAGAAAAAATCAAGGTACTATTTTTTGACCTGATTACCGCGGCAGTAAGATTTGACAGACGGTTATTAACATTGGGTCGGCATAGCCTCCCCAAAAACGCGATACTGTAACACGTTTCCTACGGTGTATACAGGCTAAAGGAACACCGTCTCTGCTTTAGCAACTCCCTATACATGCAAAATATCACTTTTAAAGAAACAAGTCCTCAACCTTGTAGATTTTTTGCTACTGCTAAAGGTTTGTACCCCCTGTAAAATGACTTCTTTTTACCGTGCATGCTGTTTAAAAGCAATGTTTACAAAAAATGGCGGCCTTGACATATATAATCAACAGCATGTGATTTCTGGCCATGTTTTCGAATTTGCCAGTGATCATATTAGATGTCACAAAAACAAATTTCATGCTGAAAATGCATTTTAAAGACAACCAGTCATTTAAATCCAGAATATTCAATATATCCAAGAAATCCTCCTGGCCATTCGAAGCTGTGGCTTACATTACTGTGGTGTGCTACCAAATAATCCTGTAAGGGGAGATCACTGCGTATTTGGGTACTCCACCGGAAGTAGCTTAATTAATTAGGCAGATGTTTAAAAACGAAAGTAGCGTGATGGAGTTTGTTGTTGCTATTGTAGTTTCATTATATTTGTTAGGTGGTGTCGATTGTCATCGTTTCGATGGTGAATACACCAAAGAAAAATATTGCCCAGGTAAGTGGAACTGTAATGTAAAGCTCAAGATCGCAAGTTCTACATGTACATTCAACAATTAAAGTTGTACACTTTTTCATATACATGTACTGGTCATTAAAATTGTATTAACTCTTACAAAGATCGAGATTTAAGAACCAGTTAAAGTTCTTGTGTTGATTGACAAATTAATTAACTCTCGGAGTCTCATTACATGATATTTTAATTGACTTGCTGAATTTGAATTAAGATGGATTTGAACAGATTAAACATTTCATTCAAATTTCAGTAAGAATATACGAAAATGAGCCTATCAGCAGATACAGTAGAGCCTTTTGATATTAAACGTGCAAGCTGGCGTTAGATATTAGCAGCACCATAGAAATTTATCTCTTAAATATGGAACAATATAGTTTAAATATAAAAAGTTTAATGCCAAAAAAATATTGTGCATGCTGGTTGCAAATGTAGAATCTACATTGATTTACTAACCTCAAAATACAACTTAAATCACATACCCCATGCACAAATATATGTATTAAAAACATTTTCAGTAAAAGTGTTTGTTTTAAAAAAACATGTTGAACCAGTGATCTTGGAACCTTATAATTTTCATTTATCACATATCTATATGTCACTCACATTCCCGAAACCGAAACTAGCTTAAATTTGATATATACTGTATATAGATCTACACGTATATTTTAAATTTAAAGTTTACAAACTTTAGTACACTTTAAAGATATATTACGCTCAAATTTGATATATGAAAATACAAATGTACTGATATTTTCTATACAGTTTCTTTTGAATGTGAAATAAACATCTTCTGGGTAATGTTGTGTTTTAAACATCACACACTACAGGTTAACACAATATGAATACAAAGAGTCAATTTAAGGAAACTGGCAGTTTTTTTTTAAAGAAAATGCCCAATTAAATTGACCATTTGTAGGACAAATGCAGTATTATAGATATAGTTTATGCATTCTCTTATTCAAATCAGACATATTCAGTAAGAATTTCCTACATTTCAATAACTGCAATAAAGTATTTTAGATAAACGTGAGCATAGTATATCTTAACTCTCCGCATAGTCTATTCAGAAGAAGTACTCAGCCGTTATATCGACATGTTTGTGGCGTCATCTTTTGTTGTATGTCTATTGATTGTATGTTTACTGTAGGCAATTGAATAAACGGTCCAGTAATTACCAAATAAGTATTCAAAATTTAGTGTTGGGTAATTTTCTATTCAATATCTGCAGTAGGCAGTTATTATTTTTATTTTTTTTTATTTTTTTTTGTACTTCCGAACATTTAAACCAGGTTTGTGAATTTATTATACGAGGGGAAGTCAGAAAATATCCGTTCTTGAAAACCATTCAACATTAAAAAAACAATCTTTCTACTCTTTTTCAAAATATTCTCCACCTACGTCTACGCACTTTTGCCATCTTCGTGGGAGCTTTTGTATTCCCGCTGTTAAACGTAGACCTATGTTTTAGGTACTGTGTAACAGCAGATATCAAAGCCGCCCTGGTCTTATATTTCTTTCCAGCAAGCATTTTTTTCAGTTCTGGAAACAAATAAAAGTCACAGGGGGGGGGGGGGCGAGATCTGGGCTATAAGAAGGGTGAGACAACAATTGCCATTTGTAAGAGTTGATAACCAGGTTCTCCACTGTAGCTGCGGCGGTATGGGAGGGGGCGTTATCGTGAAGAAGGAGGACATTTTTCTGTGCTAACCTGGGACGCATTTGCTTCAGCTTTTCTCTGAGATTTTTCAGAATTACTTCAGAAAGGTACTTGGCGGTGACAGTTTGACCTTTTGGCATGAAATGAGTAAGTATCATTCCTCGTGAATCCCAAACGGCAACAAGCATGACTTTGCCAGCCGAAGGAGACAGCTTAAACTTTTTAGGAGGTGGGGAACCAGCTCGTTTCCACTGCTTTGACTGAGCGTTTGTCTCAGGTCGGAATAATGAACCCACATCTCATCTCCAGTGATAATGCTGTTCAAAAACTTATCTCCTTCACGATTAAAACGACTTAAATATTCTTTTGCATTGGTTACTCTGGTTGCCTTTTGATCTGCGGACAGCTGTCTAGGCACCCACCTGGCACTTACCTTGCTCATCCTAAGTGCTCGTGTAAAATCTTGTGTGCTGATGCCTTACCGATGCTAAACTTGTTGGCTACCTCCTTCAAAGTAACAAGACGATTTTTGTTGACAAAAGCTTTAACATTTGCTACCATTGTTGGGGTCACCGCCTCAGCTGGCCGCCCAGTCCTAGGCCTGTCACAAACACTTGTTCTGCCTTCACGAAACTGAGAAACCCAGTTGTAAAAGGTTGAATGTGATACACATTTATAATCAGAAAATCTTTTTTAAGCCTCTGAAAGATGTGGCAGGGCTTTTCGCCTTCTGCAACTTTATTACAGAGCGTTGTTCCTCTAACAAAGAGACCATGATAGACGAAACACCTATCATATATCAGAGGGCAAAATACTGTGTATACACAACTATCATTGAAAATAAACTGACCACGTTATTGGCGGATGAATGTAGTTTTCACCAATATATAATGTGTGTATATAGCTGCACGTCGAAAGAGAGGAGCATGAAAAGTCCGGATATTTTCTGACCGTCCCTCGTATATCAGTGCAGGACGTAATCAAAGATTATATATATGATTTGACCATAATGATATTTTATGTTTTATTTAAAGTGTCCATAATAATATTTTTATGTTTCATTTAAAGTGTCCAACAAGTTAACAATAGAAGCACGTGGTTTTCAATAATTGTATAATTTATGATGTACATGTATATATGGGGATTAACACAACTGTCAATTATTTAGGCAATAGAATACTTGTTTGAAGTAAGAAAATCTCATTAAACCATTATCTTGAATTATGTGAGGGAATGAACAAAGTTTACAGAGTTAGCATAATTTGATTTATATATCACCACGGTTCGTATCCATATTGTACCCTGTAATTTGCGGTATCTACAGAAGCTGTACCCTCATGTTCTATGGGCTGTTAAAAATAAACTAGTAGTGGTTTAATTATATACACTCCTTAAATTTTACATGTATTCAATTTTTCATTATCTGGGACTTTTCGTGAGGTAATTGTCAAAGATTTCCAGGTGTGCTTGTGAGGAGAAAGGGTTAAAATGATCAATGGGAATTACAATTTTAATTAGTTCTTCTCTGTGTGGTTCACAGGAAGACAATTTCGTAATATTCAGACAGTCTCCGGCTGTAAACAATATTAAAAGATAACAAGTAGAGATTTTGATGCTAAAGCATCAAGTCGCCGGATAGAAATATGATTGTATTATCATAAATATAAGTTAATATCAGTTTAATAGTCCGAGTATAAAGAAAAGAGGAACAATAAGTTGAGTAATGTTTATTCATTAACACGTTTTTATTTACATGCCACAATTATATCTTTCTTGCTGAGAGTTTTATGCAAAAAATATCTTATGTTATAATAAAATATCATATTTGAATCAAACTTGCTTAGCAATTTTGTCAAGAAACTGTTATCATTATTAAATAAGCAAGTATTGTTTGGCAATATTTACCCGAGACTCAATAATTTTCGGGAGCTGTTTCGTTTGCTTACATAACTTATAACTTATTATGATTAATGTTAACGATTTTATCGTAAGTATAATTACATGTATAATTATATCAATTAATACTGCTCGATGGCCTAGTGGTAAGTATGACAAAGTTGTAACCTACATGTAGTAGGCGCAAGTTCGAATCTCGGACAAATCCTGTGTGTAGTTTTCATAAATTGATTTTTATTATATCTTTTAACTTTTGAAACATAAGTTGATAAATCTTGTGTTTCATTTCTAGCACTTTTTTATTTCATAATTTTGATAAACGGTCAAGTTTTGCAAAATACAAAAAGTATTATAAAAGAAAACATAAAAAATCACTTTATCGAACCTACAGTCTTCAATTTGAAACTAACTATAAATCTAACACCTTGTCATCGAGGCTTGTAAAGCAAGTGATATGATTATGATTCTATTTGTAATTCTACTTTATACATATACCGTTGTACGTATGGTTTTCTTCAGCATCCGATAATTACCGACAAATTATTACCGATCGTCGAATATTTGCAAAGTGACTATGAAAATATATATGCTTAATTATTGCATAAAGCAATGCAATTCTACTGTAAAAGTGGTGTCTGCATAAACAAATTATTCTTATGCACTATCGAAAAAATATATCATTTAGCTGAAATCAATATTCCTGTCGTTACATACAATAAAGTTAATGTTTAAATAATTGCCGTTCAGTGCGATAAACTATCAACACAAAGATAGTTTATTCGTTTTCTTCGATTCCGACCCCTACCGTCATACCGAGATTTTTCATACAAAATTAATTTGATTTGCACTTTACCATTCACATGTTACCTGTATATCTATCTTATCAGCCATTTAATTGTTACTATTAATAGATTCCATAACAATAACATACAACGTGTACTAGTAGTCACGTGATTCTGGGAGAAACTGTTTATAATAAATAAGATAAAAAATAGAAAAGGTCTCCTAAGATACAAACAACCAGATAATTTAAAAGTGTCATTTCAAATATCATGCATGATTTATTTATCATAAAATAGCAACGCTTGACACTTTAAAAAAGTAAAAGCATCCCTAAATTCAATGACTGGTCCATAGGAATACGTCATTAATTCATTTTATAAATATTGTAATGTTGCTTTTTACGATGTCAGTATTTGAATATTTCATTTCATTTGGCAACATTATTGTATGTTTGAATTTTTGAGATTACTGAAAACAATTGTAGTCTTTAATTTTTCAGTAATTGTTATGCTTTTATTTACAGAAATTAATGCCTTCTCCTACCATAGGTATAATATTAAACTGTTACAAATATAGTCGCCGGTTTCTACCGGCGACTAAAAAAAAAGAAAGGGCGAGCAATGCACACGGAACGTGAGACTTCCTCAAAATAGCGAGCTAACGAAGCATGTACATAGTCATATACGAAGCTTAGTCACGGGTGCTGAATAGAGGATATCAAGTTTTTAGTAACTTTTTACTATAAATACAGGATTTATTTTTATCGAGTGGTATGAAAATACATATTTCATGAGTGGCGGTTAGCCATGAGTGAAATATGATAATTTTCATACCACAAAATTTGCTGTTTATTATAATTATACATTTTGTTCTTTTTAGACATTTGAAAGACTTTCCCTTATATTTTGTATAGTGGCTGCATTTACAGGAAAGTAGTCTGGCAAGACATCATAAAATACGGACTTTTTTTTTACAATGAAAATACGGAAAAATGAAAATACGCATTTTTCTTCATTAATATTTCTTAATATTTCATTTATTAATAGTATATAATAAATGTATTGTATACATTCGTAGCCCCTGGGTTACCGAGGTTGCTTCGTGATAGTTTAACTATTTACAAAGCATCTTTAATGAAAGTATCATGAACACTGGGAAAACGTCTACACATTTTGGACAGGCGTTGAGACTGCAGTTAAACATATAATTTATTGTTTAAAGCATAGCTGTTGTAGGAGTTTTATGTGTTAAGAATAGCTTTTTTAGGATTGATTTTTTAGTATCAGTGAACCATGGAGACTGGGAAATTGATTATGATGATGGATACCGCTGCATTCTGAGATGTGACAAGGGGTTTGAACCATCTGACTGCCATGTCATTAGAAGAGGTAAAGACGGTCGCTGGGCGAGGAATATTCCAACATGTGTTGAACGTAAGATTTCTAAATCACCCATATCAAATACCTTTTCAGATTTTTTTCGTTTTTATTTTTCGTTGATGAAAATTATGTCGATCTTGTATAAATTTCACAAAAAAATGTAATTCTACTTGAGTCAAGAACGAAAAGTATGTACCTGCTGGAATTGAAAGAAACAAGCATTTGCCACAATTATATAGCCAGGCCAGTTTGCGCATGCTGATTGTGTATATCTACAAATTTTATTTTTTCATCTCTGTTTCCAAAATAATAAGTTTTTAAAACAATCAAGTAATGCAACAGGTTGAAGGTCAAAAGTTTTATTAATACATGAATTAATCACTTTTTTCACAGAGATATGTTTTTATGCCACCGCAGCATCTGCAATGCGGTGGCATATAGCGATTCACCTGTGTGTGTGTGTTTGTTTGTGTGAACTTAAAAAAATCTTCTTGTGAAAAACCACTTGTCCAATTTCAACCAAACTTGGCAGGATAGATCCTTGGGTGAAGGGCTTCCAAAGTTGTTCAAAGAATTTCATTCCATGCAGAAGTATTGTTGCCATGACAACCAAAAGGAATTATAAGAATGAATTTAAAAAATCTTTTTGTAAAGACCCGAAAGGCCTAGAGCTTAGCTATTTTGCATAACCGGGCATTGTCTGGTAGACCTCTACCAAGATTGTTCAAATTATAGCCCTGGGGTCCAAATCGGCCCCGCCCCGGGGGTCATTGATTTTCACTATATGTACATATAGTAAAAACTTAAAATACCTTCTTGTCTGAAGGTGCTAGGCTTAGAGGTTTCATTATTGGTATGTGTTATTATCTATAGATACTCTACCAAAGTTGTTCAAATTTTGCTTCTAGTGTCAAAACTAGCCCCGCCCCGGGGTCATAGGTCTTCCTTACATGTATATAGTAAAAACTTTAAAAAATCATCTTCTCTAATTGACAAAGGCTAGAGGATAGACATTTTGCATTAAACATTGTGTAGTGAACCTCTAGCAAGATTATTCAAATTAAAGCCCTGGGGTCAAAATTGGCCCCGCCCCTGGGGATCATTGATTTTCAGTCACTATGTCATAAAGTAAAACATTAAAATCTTATTGTCTGAAGATACTAATCTGATAATAACAGATAGGTAAGTGATCTAGCCATTATAACAATCTGTATAGAAACAAAAAAATGTGTTCCTACAGTACTATTTAGTGTTGTATTTATGCGGTGGCATGGCATTTTTTACAAATGCAATCTTGTTTTGTCTGTTGTTCAGAGTGGCATGCACGGAATTATTTTCGTAAAAGCCAATATAAAATAGTACATGATTGTTATTTTCATTAACTCGAACTCGTTCATTAGTCAGTGCATCACAAAATGGCATAGAGGGTTCGATTTCGTCGATTGTCTCATTCTCAATGAGAGTTACCCTGGTTCTGGATTCTCATTAATATTCTGATCGATGGGAAATGTCCATTCCCATTTCTTCTGTTTAAAAAGACCCATTTCAATGGACTGTTTAGAAAATTGAAGGCTGAACATGCCCAATTGTGAAAGGCTTATACATTTTATAGTTTAAAAATGCTGTTTATGACCTGACTTGTTTGTTATTTAAATACCTTCAAATGTTATCATTCAGCACCGATGGTATCTGGTAAGACACTTGTTGCAGTCGGTGCAGGAATAGGAGCAGTGGTAGCAGCACCATATGCCTTGGCAGCCGCCGGGTTCACTGGAGCCGGTGTTGCCGCCTGCTCCCTTGCATCTTGGCTTCAGGTTGAATATAATACTCTCTTTTTTCAAATATTTAGTTTTGCTTTTTTAATGGAAATATTTGTTTTGTTGGATTTTAAGTCACCCCTACCTTGTAGGAGAAATCTAAGCTTCATTGCTGGAGGAATACCTCAGTGCCTCATCGAGCATTATTTCAGGCACAGGCGGTGAGACACATATGTTATTTGAAGTCGGCAACTGTAACAAATCCAACACGGAGGAGTAGGCCCCTAATCGGCGAGGGACAAATGAAATATGCATGTCGTATCAAAATGTGCATTGCCTACAAGATTCTTTTTACATTTACTTCTATATTTATTTTCAGAATATTAAATTGCACTTGTATAAGATAAGTTGCAAATCTGTACTGCTTTATTTTAAACTTTTCTAAATTGCCTTTATACATTTCTGCACACCTTTCTATGTATTTGTTTGTTTCAGCAGAAAATATGTGTTGGTATTTTATATCAATACCGATACAAAAATAACCACATAAATACAAATCATAAAAAGGGTATAACATGTGTACAATTAAAAATAAAAAATTACTAAAGTTCATTGTAATTAAAAATGTTTTTGTAACATTATTTCTATTTATTTACTTGAGTTCTTTTTTGGTGAGCAGGGTTCTGCGACAGCAGCAGGGAGTGTGTTTGCTGTGAGTCAGAGTGCTGGGGCAGCAGGGTTCGCAGCCACCACACAAGCTGGTATCTTTGGCGCCATCTCATCAACTACAAGATATGCTGCAGAGCTATTGTCTGGATGTGAAGAGGAATAAAAAGTGACATTTGCAGATCTGTTTCTTTCCCTCCTTTTTTTGTTTATTTTCTCATTTGCGTGTATTAATTTTACTTTAGGTCTATTTTTTCTCCTTTGTTTTGCGCCCACCCTGACACTACGAGTATAACATTATAATCTTTGGTTTTCCTATATTCTTATTATAACTAGATTAACATAGTTATCTGTGATGACTAATACGACGTTGTGATGATTTCGCTTGACCAGAGTTGAGAAATGTTTTTTGTTGAACATTATAATCATTTGTAGTTTTAATTCTTTTTTTTGTGCCTTTTGTCCTTGACAACGATGATGTGTTTTTGTTTTAGCATATTATTTTGATTATGATTTATTATTATTGTATATTATTTCAGTAGCAAAAGAAAGTGTGCACTTGGTCATTTTGGAAATTCTGTATAAACATGCATGAGCACAATAGCAAATTAAATTTGGTATCAAAAATGTATTCATCATACAATGGTTAATTTGTATTTGTTTGTTTGTTTCATTTTACGCCTTTCCCAACAGTATTTCAGTCATATAAGCGGGTGGTTTCCTAACCATAGTTCCTGGAGAGTTACACCAGTACTAGACTGCCTTCCTCCGTGCTATACTACAAAAGCATCTCCCGGGGATCGAGCCCACGCCAGAGAGGTAACTGGATTAGAAGTCACCGACTCTAACCCCTCGACCACGGAGGCAGTAAATTTGTATTTAAGATTTGATTATTGTAAGATTTTTGTTAATAATAATTCGTGTTATTAGCGGAAAGATGAAAAATGAAAGTTTCTTAATTAATCTTTTTTGTCCCCAAGCTTACGTGACAGTACCTGTTGTGTTAATCTCATTATTATATGGATCAACGAAAGTGGAGTTGTGTTTGAATGATGTTTCATTAATTAAAAAAATCAATTATTAATTAGCAAAAACGTATTTACAAAAGAAACAATTTTGCAACTTTCATTGTAAAGTTCTGATAATATGTAATGAAATTTAAATGTTAGCTGTAGTGTAGTCAATCACGGCTTGTAATTTAAGCCGTGAGTGGTTACATTTGTGTTTTTTTTTATACCAAATATCTCAATACATTTCTTAAATAAAATAAGTTTACAAGATTTCACTGTAACCAAGTGCACTCTTTTTTGCAACTCTGGAGAGTATATATATAAAGTCGTGAGAATAGGGACTGTTCGTATTTGATCGAGAAAATGGAAAATGACAGAGTCCAAACTACCCCTTATTCCGTATCTAATATCAGCCAGGGTGTCTCGTATTTTCGTGGAACATGCTTAAACTTAAACAGCAGTTGATAAAAACCCTATTTTTCTTAAATATCAATATATCTAGAATGATGTGTTTATATTTCTATTTTAATTTTAATCATACTATATTTTACGTTCATTTGAATCATAAAGTACATGTACATATCGATCAGCCTTCAGCAATAAATCGGATTCCCAGATAATACGAGAAAGTACCTAGTTTAATCATCAAGAGGTTGATATATTTGTGCTGTTTATGATTATGATGTTTTCTTTAAAGTGGAATATTTCTGTGTATAGTGTTATAAAAACTACATAAAAATGTTATATTACGTTCATCATAGGCCAGATTAAAACTTGGCTATAATGAGAAAAAAATGACATTGAAGATTTGATTTTTAACGATTTCATCATAAAGTGTTTTTAAATGCATCATTATCTTTCTCTTCTTCAGTAGACACCCCCCCCCCCCCCCCCCCCTCAAATATTTCTCTTTCGTCATAAAACACCATTAAAACGTTTTGTAGGTTGTGTCATTACATCCGTGTATATATAGACATTATTAATGATCTTTTCATATTAGGAAAACCATCTATGTGGTAGGATATTTCTAGTGAACTGGGACTTGTAACAACTTAGTCCCACAGGAAGATCACGTACAAACCTTCGCATGCACATATCTTTGGTAGTGTATTCGTCTGTTTGAATTATCAGGCGCCTTCGTCTGTCCTTTGCATTTTTCCAGACAGTGACTTGTCAAGTCCAGTCTTCGTATACTGTAAATTTTCCTTGTGAATAAATGTACAATACAATATTTCCAATTTAATTTCGATAACTTGACATTTCGGAATAAAACCGTCCTGTAATAAACCCTTATTTGGAACAAGGTGTTGTCTCGTCCGAGCTTGACTCTACATACATGTAATTATTTAAGGTTGTGAAACGAAATATATATATTCCGGATAAGTGATAGATTCTGTTGTAAATTCTGCTGTTAATTCATAACTCGGTCCCAAGCTTTCGTGTTTGAATGAACTCAGCAACGAAAGATTATCACTGTTTCATTGGGTTTGTAGATGGAAACTACACTTAACGAAACTTATAAGTACCCCAAAAACAAACTTGCATTAAACACGTGTTATTTTAAAAATATGCACATTAGATAATGATTATATGTAATGCCCCAATTTGTCGTCTGCTCAAAATGAATTTATGCAAAATTAACCATGCAAAACCATACTTTGAGAGTGGTCGTTGAAAATCGAAAACGAGCACGTGCCCTTCGTGCAACTTACCATAATGACCAATATCAAAATATGTATCGATAGAGTGTAGATGTGCCTAACATAAAAACACAAAACATGGCTCGTATGTCGTTGCAAGAACGTGCAATCGCTATTGGACTTTTAGAAGCCGGAGCGTCTCATGAGCAGGTATGTGGTTCAATACTCATTGTTCGTTTTATTGCATTTCAGTGCATGCATTCTACGACAAGCCCGTTGCATATCAGTATTATGAACCTTGTAATCCTTTGGGGTTTTTTTCTAGGTTGCCCGAAGAATGCGTGTTACAAAGAAGTCTATTACTAGACTGGCCTCAAAGTACAGACGTACCGGAAGTGTCGCCAATCTTCCGAGGAGACCACGTGGTAGAGTGACAACACGCAGACAAGACCGGTTTATGGTTTTATCGCACCTCCGCCAGCGGAAGCGCACAGCAGTAGAAACAGCAAGGGCGACATTTGGGACTCACGGACGGCCAATCAGCAGCAACACAGTCCGATCGCGCCTCAGATCCGTTGGTATTCGTGCCAGACGGCCGTATCGAGGAATTGTACTGCGTGGACACCACCGTCGTGCACGTGTCCGCTGGGCGAGGACTCATCTGAGATTCACACGTGCGGACTGGGCACAAGTCTTACCGATGAGTCCCGTTTCAATGTTCAGGGAAATGATGGGAGAACCCGTGTGTACCGCCGACGTGGTGAGCGTTATGCTGATGCGTGCGTCGTAGAAAGAGATCAGTTCGGCGGCGGCTCCGTAATGATATTGGCACGTGAACACACCACTTGTTGCAATTCAAGGGAACTTAAATGCAGCTCGTTACCAGAACGAAATTCTTCGCCCCGTTGCCATTCCCATTATTCAACAGAACAGGGGCATGACACTAATGCAAGACGGGGCAACGAGCCACACTGCACGCACAACACGGGCACTCTTGCAACAGCAGAGTGTCAACGTACTGCCCTGGCCGTCAAAGTCGCCCGATCTCAACCTGATTGAGAACACATGGGATGAACTTGGCCGGCGTGTCTACAGAGGCCCGAATGCACCCACCAACCAAAGAGAACTACACAACCGACTAATGCAAGAATGGGCTAATATCCCAGTGGCTTATTTTAGAAATTTCATTATGTCAATGCGATCACGGTGCTTAGCAGTAATTAACGCAAACGGTGGACATACGCGATATTGACTTCATAAGACTCTGGTGCGAATTTGTGTACTGGTAGTGATCTCGGTTTATGACCTTTTTTGTTAAGTTTGAGTTGTTTATAAATGAATTTTGTTGTTATGAAATGTTAAAAATATGATTAAACTTTACACAGCATAAGTTTTAAATATTTGCGTTAATCATATCATAATTTATGCTGAAAACTATAACTGGGGTACTTATAAGTTTCGTTAAGTGTATGTACATGTATAACACATAACGGTGAATACTTTGAGAAACTATTAAGTGTAATTTGATTGCAGTATGGTTGCAATTGGGGTACATGTAGACTGTATGACATTTCGTCCCCTTAACACCTCGACCTCTAGACAACTAGACCCCTAAAGCATCTCTCTTTTTTTCTTTTACAAATTTGATCGATGTATGCAATTTAATAGATACATTGAATGATAAGTGAAATCATATTAAGCCTTCATTTGTTATTCATAATCTTTCTGCAAGTCAAGTATTTTACATATGAAACACACACACATAACATTGAAACAGAAATATGTATATATGTTTACATAAATAACATTACTATATATATTGGATACGTTTAATTTTTGTTTAAATTTATGAATAACATATATATCAGTCGTTTTTGTAATACAAATATTGTATTTTTTTTTTTTGTTTAATGTGCACTTGTTAGTTTCTATATATCGAACTTCTAACATCAGGAAATCTTCAGTTTATTGGTTCTTTAAATACAAAGTGAATAAATCGTGTTGTTCTCATGTATATGTACTGTAGAACCTGATTGTAAATATATGTCAGTCTGCCATTATTTCAATGAAGATACATGTTTGTGTATTAAAAATATATTAAATTGAATTTCCTACATCATACTGTATTTGCAAGCATACACATTGACAATATCCCATTTTCATAGTAGCACTATTATAAATTAATGTTAGTCAACACAAAAAGCAATATTTACAGTGTGACAGTGTCAACAGAGGCATACAATGAATAAAAAACATACTTCCATGAGCCGGACATTTTTGAATTTAATATAAATATTTTGGAAAAAAGGTAATAAACGAAATGCACTATAAGCAAAGTAACGTATAACAATTCCTTTCCCAATCACAAACCCCGTTAAATAAAATGCAGCTACTGTTTATTTAGTACAACAACAACAACAATTAAGTGATTGACAGGATATTTAACACAAGTGTTAAATACATGTACAGTACCGATATTTAGCGCACCGCTGATGATTAAATTATGGAAATTTAAATAAAATTATAAAGATTTAATGACGCGAGATTGATATGTATTTGGCACGTGTATTCACAAAATTTAGTTGGAACGAATATTAAATTTAATTTGAAATTATTTAAAGATTTGTTCATAAGATAACATTTTTGAACCTTTGTTTAAGCAACACTACATTCAAAATATGAGAGAAAAATGCGTACATGAAATGCGAAATCTAAACATTATAAATAAAACATTTTGTGAAAAAACTTTATCTTTTTATGTTAAAAATTATCATATAAAAATAAACGAAACTATACCATTTTTCAGTATATAAATGTACACATCGTACTTTACATTGCTAAATATAATTCTCAAAATACGTTTAGTCGAAAACACGAAATAAGTTTTTTCTGTTTTATTTTCAAATTACAACCAATAATTCATTGATCGTTTATTATTTGAGTTTCTTTTTCATAATGTAAATCCCATAATTATGAAATAATCGCAACTTTTAATTGGAACCACATACTTGTAAGTCAATTCAATATACGACATCAATTACATGTGTTTCACGTGGAATAATATTATTTTTCCGCGATATTAAAGTATATTGCGTCTTGAGCGACGTAGTTTCAGAGAGTGTTTCACTTTGCCGCAGTCTGCCCTAAATGATTTTGAAAGAGGATCGAAAGGAGCTTTCGTCGTGATATACCCCTCTCGATCTTGACGGACGATTTCAAAGGAGATGCCGCTTTAATAAGCTCTATCAACTGCTAGTATCTATGTTTGGACTGTTTATTTCAATTTAGGTAAATGGATTGTCAGGTAATGTCCCTCCTATTATAATGCACGAGGAACTGATATAAATAAATCTGTGACAATGTTGCATTCGATGCCTTTACTGATAAATCAATATTTAACACTCAGAGGTTTTTCCAAGAAAATCTAATTTTAGAAACGAGTTCTGGATTTTCCTGAATCGCCAGAAATAGAATCCACATTAAATTGTGGTTTCCTAATAAATGCAACACATAACATGTATATTTAATCATTATATTGTTTTCCAGCCCACGGAACAAAAATATCTCAGATGTGATATTGACGTTACAATTCCGATTCACTTAGGTGAAAAATAAAGCGGTAGGTTTCCTTTCCAATGCTGTAAAACCTACGTGTTTGGTTTGATTCTCAATTAACTTAAAAATCTTGAAAATAAACTTTGCGATCCAATGATTTACGAATTACATTGTAGTAGCTCCTTCTGTCGACCCTGAAAACGCCTACGCCGCAATTTAAAAACATGTACAAAGTGCCATGTATATGCACGATTGCAAATTACCGAATGGGCAAGTGATTAATATGTACATGTATGTGATAATTCACGGTAAATTCATAACCAATATATAGTCTTTTTATAAACGTATTGTTCACCAAACAGAAAGAAGAAAACCATTCACAAGAAAGCCCACAACATATTTACGTTGAATAACGTTGATTTACAAGTCCACGAAGGAACTGTCCACATTTATATAATTACAAATG